GCATGTATTACATCATCTGTTGGTACATAGGTGCGAAATTTAACTTGTGCTGAGGTTTTGTGCAACTTCCCTTTCCTGTTATAATATCTTATATATACCAACATTTGCAGGAGAGCATGGAATATGAATACAAATATGAAGTTGAAGAAAGTTACTTCAAAGAAAGCAGCAAAGATAAAACAAAAGTGTCATGCCTTGTTAGAGTGTCATGTGAAGCAGGTATAAAAATAATTATGTTGCTAATGAATTATTACGTTAAACCTTGACTTTCAGCTGGAAAGTATGGAGATAATGATGCCATGCTTTATAATATATCTGTCTCGGACATACAAGTTTCAAACTCTGCTACTGACAGTGATGAGGAGACCAATACAGACGTAGCTGGTAAAACATCCTAAAATGAGTAAAACTCCATTTACACCTTCAAAATGTTCACAGACATGGAAGAAGAAGACGAAAATGAAGACACAACTTCCCTCGTGTTTAATGACATAAAAGACACGTGGTTTAAGTTCTTGCAAACTGATGATGGATCGATACCAGCTGTTTTTCACCCAAATTCAGTTGCTAGGGAGGCTCTCAACTTTAAGAAATCCATTACCTCTGCCTTCCAGGCAAATTTCAAGGGAACCAGCTCAAAAGTGGAGGCAGACACACAATCTCTTCACAAATCTCTATACACGTAAGTTATTACAAAATCTATAGCTACCTACAGCAATTAAACATAATAATTTATGGACATAGTGGCCAACATTTCTCATAGGCATGGTCTTTCTGCTCCCTTTTCCTATCCTTAGTGCCGAGTGCCTTAGCGTGAGGTTGCGCTGCATCAAGAGTCACGCTTTAGGAATGCAATTCACAAACGTATGTGTCGGCATGACACTTAGGAATGTTACTGCACAGTGCGACGTCGGTGAAGATTGTACACGAAAGGCCAACTCAACTTGTACCATGTATGGACTATGAGCATCGGAATCACATTCCCCGCACGCTACGCATGTAAATGTTACTGCACATGTGCAGAGTAAATGTCATTGCACATGCACAGGGTCCTTTACATACCAACCCTATGAAGCTGTTGAGATAATAACATGACGCCTGACGCTCAACGTTGCACAAGTGCATAATTGTGTAACTCCAGCGCCAAGGAAATTATACAAATCTCCGTTATTTGCACTAGGTATGAAGCCAGTGCTCAACAAAAAGCCGAAGGTACGGTGATAATTCATCGAACGGTTGAGTCGGACGACGTGGAGGACTATTCTACACACATCATACCTGAGATGTTGGTATGTCACTAACGAAGGAATGACGTCCAAACATCCGCGGGCCGATTTGACTTATGCTAGAGGGGTCTCCAAAGTAAAGATGCTGCCACAGGTATTGTATACATGCTCAAGCATGCAGCAAATGGCACACTACGGGATTTTTAGGAATTAGTACCCAAAAGTTTACTGTGTGTGCCATAATCATCGGATGGTAGAGAAAAAGACGTTGGATTGCTTCATGTGACAAAATTCCACGAGACAAAGATGGGACTCTGGACAGCTGTTTCGGCACTGTGTTGGCCTCCTCAGCAAGAACATACCGCAACTTCTCTCTCTGGCATCACGAGTTTATAAAGGCTATATACCAGGAGTGCAGCACTTGTGGTTCTGGAGATTCATCCCCACAAGGTTTTGCCACTGGTATGTGCTGCTGACCATGCCCAGACATTCGTGGTTTGGAGCCTAGGCCCCTCCCCACTCCTGCTGGTCAAGGCCAGCACCGAGCGAAAACCTGAACTCGCAATCTGGCATGCGCATGCGCATGTACGAAGTGTTAGACTACAAGTGGGCATGATTCTTTTGGCAAGCTGAGAGACTGCCATTTACCTGTAGCTAATATCTATTGGTCCTTTGCACGGGTGCACGTAGCTATGCCGAGATGGAACTGGGTAACTAGAGAGCTCTACAAAAGCGCTGAGAACTTTAGCTGACCACCTATAGCTAGTTGGTGAAACAAGTGGAAAATCATTTCAAAGGGAATGTGGGAGTATATAAGGGCTAAATTTAAAAATGTTAAAAGATAGAACAAAACAATAGGGGCAATGCTATTGAGTTCCCGTTTTTAGTAACATTTCTAAATTATATAGCTACTCCCACGTTCACTTTAAGGGGGATGTATAGGGATGTGACCTATTGAAGAAAAGGGGAACATGAAGATGCCAATACCGAGAAAGAAATTCATTCGTACACACCCCCACATTTTTTGTTTACCAGAAGATCTTTAATTGGGCATCCAGCATTATTACGAACAGAAGAAAGATTGAGGGATGGGGTTATGAATGATTTTCTGCCTTGGTGTAGACATCTTCATCCTTAAAATACCCTTCATTTGAAACTCATAACAACAGCAGTATAGTATATAACCCAACCATGAACTAACAGGGTAGTTGTAGCTCTTATCACAGGAGAGGCTAATGTTGGGTAGCATGGAGTGTGATGTGGGGCCGATTTTGCCAGTTCACTCCACCAGCCTATCAGTCTGAAATGGCATTCTGAAAGATTATGTGCATAACTAGCACCGAACTAGTTCTGACTGCCTCAGGGCATTCCTTCTGAAGGTAGCTAGTCCTTTTACTCCTTACAGAAAGAGGACAAGAATGGTGATGTTGAGGGGGACTCACTAGAGGCAGAAATGGATGCCCGCAAGAAACGAGATGTTGACATGTCCGAGTTCTTTAACTTTGTCTCAAAGGCTCAGCCGCAACAGTCGGACGATGAAGATCATAATGCCCTGCCAATCAGTGACTCTAATGATGACACTGGTGAAGATATTAACTATATTTATGGTGATCAAGACGAGGACTATCTAAACGAAAATGAGGAGGGTAAAGTAATGGGAGACACACAACAAGACGATGATGAGCAGCCATCATATGACCCTGAGAGTGACCTACCAGATTTCGATGCCCAAGGAACTTACAGTCTGGAGCTGGTGGGTCAGAGACAGTTGCTGAGTCGCCAGAGGAGAGGAGCAGTGAACCATCTGCAACTTCCTGAGGCTACACAAAGCACTCTCTTGGCCCACGTGGATCACGGTCAGTTGCTACACCTAGATAGATACTTACATTCTTATCCTGTGCTATCTTACACTGAAGAAAATGCAAGAAAAACACATTTCTACAATGCACTAATACTTATAAATTGTCATTTCAGCCTTGGTAGCTTACAAGAAAAAATATGAAGGCATATCTAGCTTGGGGAAGCATGGTCAGCCACTTTACCATCTCTACCTTTACAGCTCGTGAAAATATAGATCGTATGATTGAGTTACATGAGGAGCTGAAAGACATCAGTCACACACTGGATGAGATTCACAGGGATCCTAATGGTACATCTACCATGGGTATGTGACTCTTGATGCAAGTTTGACGTGACATTTAGTGTACAATCTCTATCACAATGCAGTGCATAAGGTTATAGAACTCATTTCACTGGAAGGGAGATATGGCAGTCCTCCTGGATACTCCCCCATCATTAAAACTGTCCTCACCTACCTCGATAAGGTAATGAAGCAAGCAGTGTATCATTAACCCTCGGCGGCGCGCATGCGCAGCGAGGGTTACGGTAGTCGTTCTCCGTGTCTCTGTCTGTCTGTCTGTCTGTCTGTCTGTTACCACGTTTTCTGCCACCACGCGCAACAAACAGGCCAAAAAGCGACACTAACGGGTTCAGCGCTACACTGGCTTCATTTTAAAACTGGCGATTTTCGTAAAAGTACCGCGTTCAAAAGTTATGGCGTGAAAAAGCCAATATGCTAATAAGTATATACCATCACCATGGCTTACCTCGACCGCTTTTGCCGTCAGGCACATTGCTGAGGATATAGCGAGAATACCGAACGCTGCCTACGGTTCCAGCTAGGCAGCACGAGCAATGCACGATCGACGGGTGGTGAGCGAGCCGGCGGTTAGTGCGAGCGAGGAGGCAGAGGACCGGGAGAGAACGAGACATGACAATGCGCATGTGTTTATCATAGTGCGCCACGAACCGCGTGCGTGATGAATGCGCGCGTGTGCGGATCAAATTACAAACCAACGGCCTGTCCACTTGACGTATAAACCCGGACCACACATATTATGTTTGAGAAAACGTCATAGCCCCACTGTGGGACTCCACGCCAAGGGTTTAGCACTTCAGTGCCTTTCATTACAACTGTTGCCGATACCTTCCTCTGATTCAGTTGGTTGGTTCCATGGAGGAGCAGGATTGTCAGATGAGGTCACTCATCTACCTTATGCTCAGTAGAGATGGAGGCCAAGAGTCTCAGAAGGTATAGTTACACACACAATGGAACATTATTACAGAATAAACCTCGAATATTCTACCTTTCATAGGCTTTGGTAGCAGCTCTGGACATGGCTATTAATGAAGATGAGGAGAGAGCAATTGTGGTGTACATTGCCTTCACAGAGAGCCCGCAGCCTGGGATGGTGTCAGAGCTGGAGGAGAGGATTGGAGACAACGTCCACTCAACTGAGCCTCTTCTGCTGGCCTACGGAGCTCTAGTGGCCAGAGCATCTCCAGCTCTCCAGCAGAGAATGACTCTGTTCCTTCTCAATAGACTGCCTGTTGCCAAGGCCAACACTACCTCTCTCATGCATCACATCTTCTCGCTGGGAAACACAGAGTCTCAATTGTCTACCGACTCCCTCGTCAACTACCTCAGTCATCCTGATGAACTTATTCAGTTTAGCGCGATCCATGCTCTGAGGTACGCCACTGGTGAGTGTCTAGTCCAGAAAGCTTTTAAGTTGGTAGTCAGCCAGAGCAATGTTTCAGAGGACCACGTCTTTGCTGTTCTTCACTGCTTGCTCTCAGGCATTGAGCATGCCTCTAGCAAACACACGCAACCACCTTTCAACCTCGAGCTTGCCGTGTCACTGGTATCATCAGTGATGGCTTCAGAAAACGGTGAACTTCAACAGTTGCTTGCGAGCTACCTTCAACTAGTTGGTAATGAAGACTCTCGCCATCTCTTAACCCTAATGACTGCTCCACTGAGCAAGGAAGGCTACTCCAACAGTACAAGGATGAAGAGAGGCAGCAACTGGGCCGAGAGCAACAGCGTCTATGACCTAATAGCATCGCTCAATACCCGGCAAACCGATAAGAAAACCTACCCACTCCACAAAGCTTACATCTGGGGCAAGAAATTTGGCACCTCCAAGGCCAATTTACAAGTAGCAGCAGGTGGTTTTATTGGTGCTGCAAATGGTGGGCAGTATAAAGTCTTCGGACGGGCCAAAGCTGTCGGTGAAATATTTCAGAGAAAAAAGACTCTGCTTGATTTTCTAGTGCTCCGCGAGAAAGGCACCACATCCACTCGCACAAGACTATTTGCACAGATTGCTGGAAAAACACTCGCAAACATTGACATCCGCTCCCCGAGTACAGTCTGCAAAAGATACAGCAAGGAGTACTTTGCATACAACAAATACTTGGTTTTTGACTTTTCATACCCGATAAAAATCCTGGTAGCCACGATCAAGGTCGGTATCACGGGCTATGTTAGGCTCGGCAGCAATATGTATGTCGAATTTTGCGAGAAAGTAGGGAGTTTGACAGCTGAGGCGGGACTGGAATCTACCATCTCCTTGGAAATCCAGGGTGGATTCACAGGTAGTTTGCTGGTGAGAGTACTAGAAACTCATATCTTTTAGCTCTGTCTTGATATCACAGTCTTTCTTGCTCATACATGTGCCATCATTAGCAGTATCCACTTGTCCTCATCACAGAATGTTGCGCGTGGTGGGGTGACCGTGAACGCAGTGCTCAACTACAAGCTGATTCCGGCACTATCGACAGAATTGTGCCTCACTAGCAGTATCAGGGTCAAGAACTGCATTGGGATCTACCACCAGTGGGCCAACAACAAAATACTCTTGGACGTCTGGTACCAGAGGAAGAAGTGCAAGAGCAGGTTTGGAGTTTTTCCTGTAAGTTCTTAATTATTGCACACTTTCAACACGAAGTAAAAACCGTGTGCTATGCAGCTCTGTAGGACTGTATGGGCAGAAAAGCAGAAAGTTGAGGCACTGTCTGCCTCTTGGAACCTGCCATCTACAGCCAAGACACCACTATGGAGAAAGTGTGACAGTAGTTTTGTCTGCAGGTCATCCACGGCAGTTGCATCAGCTGTGAGTGGACCACCAGGAATGAAGGCTGGTTCCTCTCGCCTGCTGAGGCTGAACGGACCAGCCCCCATCCCCAACTGAACCCGTTGCACGAGTGGAAGAAACTGTAACTATGAACTGCGAACAACAATAGTTTTCTAGACAATTGGTAGCTATACCCTTTACTGGCATTTTCGATTTAGGCAGAGGTTTCGTGTGCAAATGTAAAATATAATTAGAACAAATGCCAACCATTTTTGCCTCGCGAGCACAAGCAGTTCAATTTTTCGTTCGTGTCCATTTTTGTGCGTAATTTAGATTCACGTAGAACATTCAACCTTATGTGCAGTGCCCAGTGCCCGTCACACATGAAAAATCCTGCATTCGGACGACTAGGTAGGCTTGCTTCACTCGCCAATTATGGAAGGGGTTCGACGATCTGGAAAAACTATTGGTCTATTGAAAGAACAGTTCCATAGTGTATAGTGGTAAGTTGGCAAGGTCCCATTGACATTACACCTGCTGTGCATGCACATGTGAGGTGATTACACGTAAGTAGAATATGTACACGGATCCTCAGAGGCCTAAGTGAGCAACATATCACAATAGGAGTGCTGATATCCATTATCGTCACAAAATGTATTTGGTAGCCAGAGGGTGGCTAGACCCCATCCACTCTGGTGTCCCCACGATTTCTTCTCTGTGCACATGTAATATACGATCTTCGAACCCCACGAATAATGTTACATCAGACACTCCATGTACTGATGCTCTCAACTGCACGCAACGCACTACATGTCACGATACGGTATGTGTCACAACTTATAAGCTCCAGCAAGCCAATCATCTTCATGGCACACATATATAATTATACAAGCATAACACCCATGCCGAAACATGGGAGTGAGGGACATCAAAACCAACAAAATAGGGCTACTAAAATAATTTCCAAGTTTCAAAGTTTAGTGAGGAGTCCAGAGTCGGGGGCAGAGGTCTTGACCAGTGCCTGGACCTCCTTGAAGTTGGGATGTTTGCTGTCTCCCAGGAGCTCAAACACGACACTCTCACTGGTGGTCAGGAATGCCCCGGCAGCTCTCAGACGCTGCAGTATAATGTTTATATGTATCACTGCACCGACACACTAATGTCTGCGTACTTTTTTATCCATTCGTGGCAGTCATGTACATAAGAGTACATCTTCAGTTCACTCAGCGCATTAAATAAGTAGTACAGTAGAGTACTGTACAACTGCTATTGCACGCTTCGCTATCGTTATACCTCTTACTTAATAAATGAAAAGCACTGAAGTGCAAACCCTCGGCGAACTGCGCATGAGCGGTATCGCTAATGGTTGGGCTGGGCTATTACCCGCGGTCTCCCGCTAGTAGCTCGCGGAGAATCTGACACGGGCTAGCTACAGTAGTAGATAGCATACGGCAGTCGATACACGCTCTTCGCTGTGGCTTTTTGTGCCTCCAAGGTACACAGAGCAAGCGGATCAGGTAGAGGTGGAGCCAGCATACCGCGTTGATCGTGTCTATACGCATGCGCACCGCTTAATGATGGGTTGGGCCACAGAACTCGGTCCGCGACCGTGCCAATTTGTCGCTCTCGAACGCAGTCGTTTCAGGAAAATCGCCTAATAATTTTTCAGGTTCGCGTAGTTCTGAAGCCGTTGGTTTCGCTCATTAGCCACCTCGTGGCCTGTAGTGCCAGAATAAGCATCGACACACAGACAGACAGACAGACAAACCAACTACCGTAACCCTCGCTGCGCATGCGCGCCGAGGGTTAACCACAACCAAAACAGCGGTCCAGCTACCTGTTATCTCGTTTGCTCTCATACAACCCAGGTCTTATACACAAGCAAGACCTGCCCATACTTTATCGCCCTTTGTGTAAAATCAGATGCCTTATTAATGGTGAACGCTCATTCTAACACAGTATTGGCATGTTAAAAATCAACCCAGGGTAGCACTGCAGTTAGCATAACCTTTTTTGCCTTGCTGGGTGTAGTGGCAGAAAACTTGGTAACAGAAACGGTGGATGAATGGAAGCAAACCATGTACTCGCTGTGCATGGCATGCTTGTATTTGTAAGCCATAGAAATCAAGTGCCGCGTACGCGGGTATACTCTGGCATGCTTGTATTTAACCCCCACTAACAAGGAATAATGTGCTACCCTGTAAAAATGTGGTAATTCTGGTGAAAAAATCTGAAGGAGTTGTCTGTATAATACATGCAGTGCAAGTGGGAAACAGTGACACATTATAGCCACAGTTGGAATGCCAAGATTGTGGAGTTGCTCTTGTGCATCGCCTAGATGATAATGCGGAAAACAACGGCGCAAAAAATCAGAGCTATACATAAAACTTTACAAGAAGTGTGGCAGTGTCGGTTGGATAGAAAGGTATGGAAAAATCCAGGTTGGCTCGCTCCCGCCCACCAATAACCACACACAGAAGAAAGGCTCTAACCTCAAGAGCAAGCATGCGGTCCACCTGACTGCGTGAAGAGCAGCCATCAGCCAGAATGTGTACATCGTATCCCTTGTCCAACAGATCCAGTGCAGTCTGTTGGACACAAACCTGCAGACAAAAATACGAATGAACTATACTTGTTTTAAGTTTCTGGGTTTTGCACGTACTATCACAATATTTACACATACATACAAAAGCCAAATGCTTTAATACATGAATAGCAGTAAAGTGCAAACCCTCGGTGCACTATATACAAATGTCGAACCCATACAAATTTCCAGTACCACTCATTGATGGGCTGGGGTGTATGTTGTCGATTTACTCGACATTGCTAGTCCAGTGCTGTAACATTCGCCGCGCAGAAGGGGTGTGGTCGCCAAATCATAAATGAAAAGCACTTATTAAAAGTGCATAACACTCGCCACTTTATTTCAGCAGCCAATGGCTACTAGCTACACTACTTCAGTTTTTGCCACATGCGAGTTCAATACTAGTTACTACTACAGCAAAGTGAAAAGCACACAACTCTCATCACTATTCAGCTACATACTATAGCTACGGTATATACCTCAGTGGCTCTTTCACTGAACGGATTCACTGGGGCGTGTGCTGCTCTCCCTCCACCGGCAATCTCGATCCTACTCAACTGTACCATCAATACAGCCATGCCAGCAAATTTTCTCCACACACGCAAAGCATGGTTCGCGATCTCTATTTGACGCACACCCACATCGGCAGCCGTCCGTTTCACCAGCTTCCCCGGGCTTCTCCGCTCCAGAATCTTATTTTACTATGCATTCCTCCTTGTTGAACATATGTCCACGTTTCACGCTCAGAGTTGCCGCGGTTACCGAGAAAAACGGAGGACAGACGGACGGACACACGCACACGCACACGCACACGCACACGCACACGCACACGCACACGCACACACACACACACACGCGTACACACGGACAGCAATAACCCTCGCTGCGCATGCGCGCAGGCGAGGGTTAATAAATGGGCAGCCCTACATATCTCCAGAGAGACGTCTATGGACGTAATGCAATGCCAAACTATACGCTGATCCTTTAAGATGTTGGTAGCATCAGCTATAGTTAACAATATGGACAAACTCATTCATGAACAGTGGCTGTATTGTGGAGCCAGTGTTTCTCACTAGTAGGGTTCCCCATGCACGTTGTGTCAAGAGGGCATGCATTAAAAAATAGTATGCATGAATTTAGCTTATCCCTACATTGTTTTAGACCCAAAAAATCCTAAAGGGCCACCCATAAAAAAAATACAACTGAATATTATGCACTAATTCAGGTTATCCATCAATCGTTTTAGGGGAAAAAACAGATCTTAAAGGTTAAAAAAAATTAATGCCCACCGGACATCTCTCCAGACAGACATCTATGGACGCAGTGCAATGCCAAACTGTACGCTGCCTTTCGAGATGTATGTGGGTCAATGGTAGATTCGTGGGTAAGGGGAGGAACCACAGCTGTTCCCAGCCAATGCTCTGGACCACCTGTCAGTTTCAGTGCGGGTCTGGGATTCGAACCGGGCACCTTATGTGACAGTCCCCACGTCTCTAACCACCAAGCCACTTGGGCTGGCCACGAGAGGGGATGAAAAAAGGCCTTTCTTGTACTAACACTTATATGACATCATTATACAAAAAAATGCACCAGACAGGGATCGAACCGCCGACATCAGGATCAAGTGTGTGACACCTTAACCATCAGACCACGCCCAATACTTGAAAGGGGAAATGTCCGATACTGCATTATAATCATCTGAGATAACACTCTGCTTTTGGCAAGTATGACATTATTAAGGAGCACATTTCCACTTGCTACAGGCTACATAGAATGTCTAGACCAACGTCTTACCTTAGATTGTGTGTATGTGTGTGTTGTATGTGCAGATACTATTCACACATAGGGAGGTAGGTATCTGAACCAGAGCAGATAGTTTTTCAATTTCAATTTTCAATAAACCCAAAACTTTTATTAGAGCTCACTCACGCTGAATTTCGTGTCTTCTAAATCTAGTAGATTTCACGTTTTCGTGTATTCTAAGTGCCCGGGGCGTTTTTTGTGCGCGCGCATATAGTAGGTGCGCGTTAATTAGAAAACCACGCGCTGAGTTCAACATAGTATTACAGGGAAAGGAGGAGAGGCGGCGTAGCTGGTCCCGTGCACATGCGCATGCTCGTCGTTAGACGGCGGTGGTGGCTGAGCCGTAGCGTCAGTTTCGTAGCTGTCACTTGCCTCTAGCAGTATGCGGTTTATTTCGTTGTGGCTGTCTTCTTGCGAGTCTTCCAACCACTCCATGATGTCTTCGCAAAACATCGCATTTTGGTTGCTAAGGGCGCGCAGAGCCTGCGCCCGCTCTAAATAAGTTAGGCAGGCTCGTCCAATGAAATCTACGCGATTTAGAAGGCCTCGGGCCCTTAGTAGCGTCCTCGCTACGCTCGGACGCTACAGCCCAGGGCCCTCGGCCTTCTAAATCGCGTAGATTTCACGGACTCACTGTCTAACTATTATGTAGAAACTCTGATAAAGACACTACGAATAAGGACACGATAGGAAAAACCTCTCAATAAAGGACATGCTCTAAAGGTTCACTTTCTTGTATGTTTTTAACATCCAAAGAGAGGACAACCTCCCCATAAAGTACAAATTGCCTGTGCTTTATTCGGAGGTTCCACTGTACAGTACATAGCTACACAGGGAAAAAATTCACATTTGCATATACCTGAGTTTCAATTCCGAAGATTACGACTGAATTTCTCATAGGCTCAGCAGACATAATTTCCATCACCTCAGGAATGGCCATGGAGAAGATAGTCTTGGAGAAGACACGGGCTGAGCTGACATCAATCTCTGACACTGTGTTGCCCAGCCCTGTAATAGATACATAGACACACTCAGGTTAACAGGGCAGTGCAACTAGGCTAAATCTATAACCAAACAAAGGACCTAGTGCAAGATTATGTTTCTTTTTCAGGGATAGTCTGTACTTATAATATTGTGGATAGTTTTGGTTTGTAGCCAGAACATGTATCGTGGCTGTATACTCAGCACCCATCCTAACTGCTTCAAAGTGTACAGAGAGAGTTCCCACATCCAAAACCCTAACTTCCATGATGTGCGCACAATGTGCATATATATGTCACGTTTGTTCTCTCTCAGCACGTTCGAGAATAATTTATGCAGGCACTACCCCTACATGCACATGATTGAAAGCACGTGGGGTATGCCAACATAGATTGTACTGCACTAGCTGTATATACAATGATTAGTAGAATTTGTTGGCAACAAATTTGACGTAACAGTGTTGTGTACGGATATTATTATCAAACATACTGCCTCCTACCTTTGGGGTACTGCTCGGTGGCTATAACAGGAATCTTGAGTATGTTTGCAGCCCTAACCTATACCAGAGCAGTATGTAGTGATGTCGAATGTAAATACGGTGTGTACCATTCTCTGTGCTACTGTGATGATCTCGGGGAAGTAGCGAATGGACGGCCTGAACTTCTCCTGCATGTCACAGAGCAAGAAGTAGCAGTTGCGGGTCGTGAGTCTCCCTAGTCGCCGAACTGCCTGGGCTGCCATCTTCTCACACGACCTTTGGACCCCGGAGTGCTATACGGACGTAGATTACGGTTTCGAGCCCCACCCCCGTTTTCTGCAGACTGGGCGTGTGTCTCGTGTGTGGCCTGGTAAAGAGAGAAATGGCAGCAAGATCACTACCGTCCGTTCCTCACAGCCCGTCCTCCATCAGTCTACCCTCTAGTCTTGGTCAGCCGGAGGAAAGCTCTGTGTCGGTACACGCGGCCGCGAGAATGTGTGGCGAGTCCGTGGAAAGGATGCAGCTAGTGGCGGAGCTGCTCCTTCTGCAGAGTGGCAGAGACAAACCTGCAGCTCTAGAGCCTGTCTCCGCCGGCCACGAGTCGTACGCAAAGTCCCGGGACGCCATCGTGGCCAACACCAAAGGTCTCGCAATCTCCATCAAGGAATTTGGGAAGAGGTTGCACATGAGCGACCTGACACTCGTGTACAAACTGGCCCACAAGGTGGCCGACCAGGTCATACTACTGACGGAGGCTGCTGCCCACGCTGCCTACTTTACGGCCATGAACGACGACGAGTCCGAGCCAGCCTCGCCGTCACTCGTCGACCGCTACAGACTAACTCGAGCCAGGCAAGAGTTGAGGCTCGCCTACGCCAAGTTCAGACTGGATTACGGGTCTCTGTCGCGAAAACAGGTGATGCAAGTGTCGGGAGTGTTCGCCGACAACCTCTCGACCCTCACGCGGAGCTGCAAACTGGCAGCGGAGAACAAACGAATCAGAATCTCGGACCGCGTACAGTTCTCCCACTGTGCGCAGGGGCTCCAGGGAGTAACTGCCGCCTTCCTCACCAGCCTCAAGGCCTTTGCAGGCTCAAACTCGACCGAGGATCGCAAGAAATGCGTCCTGTTCGGGCGACCACTCCTCGAGATGGCCAACAGCGTGGTAGAGTACGCGCATTTCGCCCAGTTCTTGGGAACGCCGGCTCGGCTAACAGAAGAGAGCTATCACGCACAGACGGAGGTGCTAGCTGGAGCCATGGCGGTCGTGGGTGCCAGCATACAGCTCCTCAATACAGGGCGAGGGATTCTGGAAGAGAGCAAAGGCTCTGGGTTCTCAGCCGAGAGAGAAAGTGAGCAGTGGCAGAAGCTGGTGAACTGTTCCAAGGCTGTAGCCGATGCCACGAAACTCCTTGCGTCAGCAATTCGCATTCACACACCTCTTCCGTCTGTCGTATCCTCCCGTACCACCTCATTAGAGACATTCCTGAAATAATGGTTGCCATCTGTGTGTAACATTGTGATTATGTGCTTTTATGATGTAAGGTGAGGGATACTGAAAATACTAAACGGGTTTTTCTCCTGTAGTCTCTTTTTAGTTGCTCGTTTCTTTCTGCTTTGGAGAAGTATTCTCCTTTTCTCTAGAGCCATCTGCTCCGGTGAGAGACATGTCGGTCTCTTGTCCGTGACACCACTCTCTGCCACCTGTCAGGGAATACAGTGAAACCTCTGAATAAGGGACACCTTGGGGGGGCAATTAAATTGTCCTTTATTCAGAGGTGACCCTTATTCGGAGGTAAAACAATACACTTAGCTACTGTAAAGCCTGAAATATTGGCGGCCATGATTTTAGCGTTTTACTCAGACTCCACATATTGGCGACCATTAATATTAGCACTTTGCAAGTTGTGGTTAACCTTGTCCTCTTATAGAAAAAAAGTTTGGCGGACCATGAATTCTAAACGCCAAATTCGCTAAATTAAATGGAGCGCCAATATTTCCGGTTTTACAGTATATATGTATTAGCAAGTGTCCTTTATAGAGAGGTGCATGTCCTTCATTACGGTCCTTTTTCGGAGGGTTCACTGTAGTTCACAGTTAACACCAATCAAATGCCCCTACAAGCAACAACATAAAATACATAAGCATACAAAGCAGTACATTCAGGAGTAAGTATAGCTATATAATATAAACATTTCTTACTCTCTTGATAACTTTGGTCTTCATCACTCTCCGTTTAGTGAAATACAGCATGTTATTCTTCTTAGCCACAGCTGGGAAATAAAAACATTGGCAATGCAGGGATCTTATGTATGGCCCCATATCAACGTCTCACCCTCATCACGTTCAGGCTGGCCCATAGTGGTAGTACTGAGACGTGCAGGCGGAGTTTGCACCCTTGTCTTTACTTTCTTTTTCAAGCTCTTCCTTTCAGAGTTGTCCTTCCCTTTGGAATGATTGGGTTCTCCGTCATTAGAGTTTCCAGATCGCACGAAGGCCAGGCTTTTCTTCAACAGCGCCTTCGACATTTTGATCTCGACACTCGTGGACAGTGGGAGGGGCCGAAGGCGTGTCCCGAACGTCATCTGTTGAGTCAGCAATCTGCTGAGTCGCTCGTGATAAAGAACTGCTGAGAACGGGCAAGTGTCTACCCTTGTCTCCGACCACCAGGCAGGCGTACCCGGGCACACTCCCTCAGGTGGCCTTGCTGACCAGGCTGACCAGGTACGTCAGCCTCAGGTACACGAAGTGTCATTTTTTGAGTGGCGAAGATGTAGAAAAAGCTCAGCTTGGTTGTAAGTAATGGCTAAGCCCTTTTTATCAATATCTACTGTTGACCATAATTAGCCACTATCTGTTATCCATAGAGCTGTACGTGTACACAAACTGCACTTTGTGAGCAACTTATTTTGGGATGCCTATTGATCCGTATTCTGTCTTTAGATGCCACACTGACAACAGCACCCACTCTCTGAAAAGAAAATCATGGAAACTGGACAGCAAATAGAATGGCAGGACCTCGACAAGAGACGCTATTACATCATTGGACCCAGTATGTTTGTCTGCGTACGAGCAGTCCTATATCCCATAAACCTCATCAAGGTCCACCTGTTCATGCAGCAGGGAAACTCCCTCTATTCCGGGGCAATCGACGCCTTCCGGAAGATTCTCAGACGAGAGGGGATCCGGGGTCTGTACAGAGGGTTCACAGTCAGCTTACTAGGGATGGCATCGGGACAAATGTACATCACGACGTACGAACTCACCCGAAGTCGCCTGCCTGGATACAGCACAGAGTTCAAGGGGCTGGTAGCTGGTACATGTGCCACTGTAATTGGCCAACTACTGACAGTGCCTGTGGACATAGTGTCGCAGCACATGATGATGGAAGGCCAGGGGAAATGGAGTCAGAAGGCCACCAGTCGAGCCAAGCCCAGTCAATACATATTGGTCAAGAACACAGACTATGTACTGCCCAAGAAACAAAAGGTGGTGCGAAGTGCGTACCACATAGTGAGTGAGATAGTTCATCGCGAGGGGTTCCAGGGTCTCCACAAAGGTTACTCTGTCAGTCTCCTCACGTACGCCCCCAACAGTGCCCTGTTCTGGAGTAACTACAGCATGTTGTTTCGCTGGTGTATGGAGTCAGGATTGGGGGAGGCCCTCCCACTCCCGCTCGTGCAGGCGTCGTGTGGTGTGGTGGGAGGTGTGACGTCTGCAGCACTCACTAACCCACTGGACGTACTCAGAACTAGATATCAGGTGAGCCCATCCGCTGAAGTGGCTAGGAATTATGACAACCATACTAAGGCATAAGCCATACATGTTCTTGACAATTTGGTAAATTTGCACAGCTAGCCACGGTGTATAGCTATTGCATATTTTATGTCGTAGAGCACTCAGAGTGCACAGTGTCGTGGATTCGAATCCTACCGACAACACCTCTTTTATCCTAGGTGTAGTTGTGTTGTAATTATTTTCCATTGATGACAGACGCAGTCACACAGTGTATCTTTATGTGACACGTGATTGTGTTATCCTGTTCAGTTGGAGGACTCCCAGAGCATCAGACAGACATTCAACAGACTGTGGAGGGAGGAGGGGCTCAGGTTTCTTTCCAAGGGACTATCGGCACGAGTTGCATCTGCTGCTCCAAATAGTGCCATCCTCATCAGTACCTACGAGTGGGTCAAACGCAAGAGCCTGCTGCGGACAGAACAGTAGCCTTTTATACCATAGGTGATCTTTTACTATGTGATTATTTATTGGTCAAAAGTATGGGGAGTGCACAGTCACAGGCAAATCTCTTTAGAGGAGGGTATATAGAGAGATTAATGTTTTCCTGTCCCTTCACTCTCTCCGCCTGTTTGTCAGTCCAATCCTTCCACCAGTCTCTCCAGTCACTTCACTCGTTCAAACCTCATTCATCTCTCCTCCTACGGAGCTCCCTGCAAATGTACTCAATTCGTGCTGTGTTCATATGTTGTGAACTTCATCTGTGTGCATTGACCTGGTGGCTCACTATGGAGCCGGATCCTGGCTCACTTCTCCCACATCATCACTGATCTCTTCTCTCTTCTCCTGCGAGTCCAAATACCTTCGCAGCTTCTTCGCGGCTCTCATTCTTGCTGCTCTGCTATCAACTGTTTTCTCTTCGGCGCTTCCCTACCATTGCATGCCTTTTCGCTTCCCCCTCGCGCGCACCCCGGCTCAAGTCACTCCTCGTGCAACTCCTCCGACCTCACCGCTGATCTCTTCTCTCTCTTCCGCTTTGCCCAAAGGCCGCCTTCGCAGCCTCTTGACAGCTCTCATTCTTGCTGCTTTCTCCACCAACATCTTTCTCCCGCGCGCCGCGAGACGGAGCCTTTGTGCGCATGCGCGGCAGTGCGGCAGCAGGCCGGCCGGGCGATGAGCAAAATTTAAAATAAGAACTACACTATTCGGTTGCTAACAAGAGTGTATCTCTCCACTTCAGAGAGCGACCGTTGTTTTACTGTCTTCCTGGCAGCGGCACTACTTGTTCTCTGTCTCACTCCTCCCTCGGCTCCTCCCACAATGATGACATCACCAGCCACACCAGAATTCGTCTCACTCCCATGTGAGCAGGGACTACTCTCATTACTGGATGCAGCACCTGTCGACGACTTCCTGTCCTCGCAGTAGCTCCTGGCCCCATGCAGTAGCAGGATCCCCACTACAACCTTGACTGATGTCAGACTTGGGACACAGAGACAAACGGAGAGATTGGCTTTACCTAATCACCATAATAGCTATTTGCATAATTATTTACCTGAAGGGGGCACCTCGCAACAATTTTAGGCATTTTGTGGCTTACACACTCGGGAAGTTACTGTCAAATGCATCCGTCGTGTGTGGAAGTATAATATACAATGTATGAGGGCATTAGTCAGAAGACTAGGTATAATGTATATACAAGAAGATGCAGCATTGTTGGCTTTTTGCTTTTTCAAAGAGCTAACCCTTATGCCCATGGCAAAAAGTACTTTGAAGTGCAGAACGTACAAAGAAATAAAGGTTCTCACCAGAGGTAAATGGTGGCAACTAGAGCTGCCTCTCTGGATCCAGGGAACGAGAATGACTGACTCAGTGTCCGCCACACCTGCAAGGACACACCCAACAATGATGACGACATCTTACGTAACAGGTCCCCAAGAGAGGAATGGCAGTTCACCAGGCAGATCAGGGGCAGTGGTATAAATCCCATTCTTCTCGATACCAGATCGCTGTGATCTGATTTTGCCTGTGGTGAAATGAGGCACAGTCAGTCACTTTAACCCTTTAGAATGCCATGGGTATCTCTAAATCATGCACAAAGTATTAGTGCCTAGTATTATAACCCCTAAGGCCTCTGGGAATATTAATTATGCGTCTGGGGCAGGTTAAGTGTTAACTACTTAATACTGCAAATAAATCAAGGGAGCTACAGGATAACATAATATTTCTTTGCTCTTTGAGACCTAACTAACCACTCACAGTTGCTCACTTCACTGCTACACATGTCTAGAGTATCAAACATTGCTACAGCTATTATAATTACGATACAAGACCTGCTGATGCTGGCTCGAAGCAAGATCCTTGGCAAGAATGGACCTGTACTCTTGATATACATCTGGGGATATGTCGTTGAACTTTGTGATGAAGGCGTGTTTGGTCCAGTCCACAAACACCTCAGAGACCAGGACCAGGAGTAGGACGGGGGCCACCTCGTGAAGATAGCCTGTACACAGAGAGGGAGACTGATAGAGCCTGCACTCAATAGTATGACACGTCATGCAAACACAACAAAATGCTATCCCAGTTATACGTGCTATTGATGAAAAAATATCTCGAGTGATCATGTATAATTCCATTTCGTTGCTTTGGAGTTATGTAAACATTACAGTATGTGTGCGCCACTGATTTTCATCATTGTATATCGGCGGGGGGGGGGACGGTACAGTATTCATTCACTCTCCACTACCTCGGTACCATTATCAAGTATACATACTGGGGTCCCAGTTGAACTGAGCGAGATTCCTGACTGACACCAGTCCCAGTAATACAACATAGTGGAACCGCTCACGGATGTCTGAAGAATGTTTAAAAAAAGGACAATTAATAATAATTATTACCTTATTAAAGTACAGTGTAAAAATATTTTAACGGTCTAAGTTTTTACTTTATAGAGGATCTAGGGAGAAAATATCGTGCTTTACAAAGAACTTTGTGTGGCATATGAAGGACTACACCCCCAGAGCTCTGAGAGTGCAATACACTGTCTCCAACACTGCAGGTGATGGCTTTCACTGCACTCTCCAGCTAAACCTGTCATTTCTTTTCCCCCGCGTCACTTTTTGCTACCACACTTCCCCTTGATATTTGAGAATTTTACAGTACATGCTTATGTAACAATGATGACAGTAAAACAGGAAGAGGAAGGAGGGATATAAGAGACTACTTGTTAGAAAAACAACCATTATTATGGTGATCATGCACGATCTCACCACTGCAGGACATTTGAAACAGGTTGCTCCTCTCAAACTTCTTGAACACGGAGCCCTTCAGCTCGACAAAGTTGTTGGAGACCATGATAGTGAGAAGGGCCTTGCTGTGTGAGTTGACTGCCACGTTCAGAGTCACCGTCTGGAACAGTAGAACCACGGTATGGATGACTGGGAACAAGAGATGTAGGTCAAGAAAACAACGCTGAGTGAGGGAGGAACGGCAAGCCTATACTATAGTGCACACTGATGCACCAGATGACCATAGGCAAAGTCAGTGATGGGCAACAAATGTGTGCGTTGTGTACAAACGAATTTTGTTAAAGTTGTAGCCTGAAACATCACACAATTTTTGTATATATGATGGTTCCTTTGTCTTCAACTCGCTGTGTGGTATATTCCTCACATACCCTATCATTGTGTAAAGGTCTATTAAAAAAATGGATGCACAGTGTGAAGTTGTTTGCAGCATAATTATTGGATACGGACATAGCCAGTGGCGACAATGTAGTAAAAAGCAGCTCCGAGATAGTCCCTGGGCTTCCTGCCCTCTCCTCCCTCCTTACCCTCCACATCCACCGCACTCCAGAACAGGGAGTCCAGGGTGTCCTGTCCTATGCTGGCCAGCAGCCTGTCAAATATCTGGATATACAGTATGTACTACACATGAAATATGACTAAGGTAGGTGTCAACAATAATAATTGTAGCTAGCAACAACAATTAACAATGGCAGCACACAATAAGCCTTGCAGCTAACCTACCTTTTGGTTAACGTTTTTCATGTTATAATATCCCTCTGCAATGAAGTGGTTTGGGAAGGTTCGATACTAATATGCAACGAAAACCCACCCTTACATGTGTGCATATTATTTGGACATTATGGTATGGACAGTGCACATGAAACATGGGAAATATCACCCAAGTCAGACGAGGTAAGAGTTTGCTTTTCTCGTCAATTTTACAACATGAAAAAAGATAGCCAAAAGGTAAGTGGGGTTACCTGCAAGGTTTGAACTAATAGCATGGCATAGAAGCGTTAAAAAAAAAGTGGCGAACCTCTAGCATGTTGTATATGACGTATAATTTGATCACGGACTGAGCCCGGACAATGTGGTAGACAGCGGAGGTGTCCACGTAGCCCATACACACTATACACAGCAGGAGAATGGACACTGGGGTAGAGAAAGGGGTGTACAACTCTCCATGAACCATCCAATACACCAACAATCACTGACAAACCGCTTGATGTATGCAGAAAATCTTAATATGCTTGTGCGTGTGGTATGTAGATTGTCTGCATACATCAAGCGGTTTGTCAGTGATATACTATTGTATGTAATTGAGTAGATAAAAATTTCCAGAATGGAAGAATTGTGAACTGCTGAAGTAATACACATCGGAATCAGGAGAACAGGAAGAACTCTGACTACAAAAGGCAGACGTCACAGCAGTGCTGGTGAGGAGCATCTGTGGACAGGTTCATGTACTGACTAGTCCTTAGTACAGGTAGCTAACACGTCTTTCCTAGGTCTGACGTACCTCTGAATATATCACAAAGATCACATGTCTCTATCCACCTCTGCCTACGGGATCAATCAGGTATAAACACATCATGAGACATAAACGATGTGATAGGAGACCTGGAGTGAAATGTACCTACAGCGGGAGAATCTGTAGAGGGAGTGCGAGAGGGAGAGGAGGACCCGGATGGGGAGGAAGGTCAGGATGAAGAGGAAGGCATCGAGGCAGATGAGAAAGCCGAACAACATCAGCTAGAAAACGAACACATTGTATACCAATCATTGACTACTAGCAGTAACCACTCATTAGCTGTTTTAAGGTGACCTCTGAATAAAAGTGAATAACTATGGGTTTACTATACACTTGTTGGGTCTGTACTAGCCCCAAAATTGAGAATTCTGTGCATACACTCTACTCGACATTCACATCGTGTAACTGAACACCTTCTCCAGCTCTCTAGGAGTCTTCATGAAAGTGACGACTCTTCTCTGTTTCTCAGAGAGCATTGCCTCGTCTCTCTCCAAGAGGTAGCCTCGAGACAACTCCCCCACCACGTAATCATACACACTCTTCATATCTACCCCCTGTCTTCTCGATGTTCTACAGTGATGCAGAAGTAGTTGAGTTTCGTAGACGCTAGTTATCCCTCAGCTTACTATCTTTGGAGCTCGAACTAGCGCTGGGGAGGAGAAGGTCTAAGTGCAGTGCAGCTAGCTCAGCCTAATGTCATGTGTGAGCGAGGAACGAGTACACGTGCGCGCATCCCAAATGACGTAATTTACAACGAGGGGAAACCCCTGGGATTCTCCCAGAAGCGACGTATTATAGCTAGATAGCTGGGGCTCTCCTTTTCGTCTCCGTACTCGGGCCACCTCTGATCTAAGTAGCTCCGACGTAATTGTCTAACACTATGTGGGCGCTGTATCTCTGTGTCATATCCCTTTTTGCTCCTTCCCGCGGGGCTCCAGAAGGTTAGTGTGTGTGTTGACTAACGATGTTTTGGCTTGTCTATTAGCGAGCTATGCTTCCTACTGTACACGACCTGGACTGTTATAAGTGTGTTTTGACGTATAGCCTCCAAGAAGCGTGTATTTATTATACATGAGCGTTTCTTGTTTACACTCACAGGGACCATTTTATCGCTGGGGATATTCAATGGAAATTTACAAGTCCAGCAGTACCCTGTGCCAGCTACTTCCGGCGGACCGGTTCAGAAAAACCATCCCCTGTCTGGAGATCTGGCAAAGTTCTCTCTCACCTGCTCCCCCTCATGTGAGGGACCAAATGTCCTGTCTTTTGAGAGGGGTCCAGTTATTCTTCATGTGGTGCTCAACGATGGGACACTGTCTCTAATGGAGACTGATGTCTCTCACAGTGTGTACTCCAAGCCAACTGAGGTATACTGTTCTCTTATTAACTTCCTGAGCTTAATAGTATGTAGTCTACAGCTGTACTTGGAGGGCAAGTAGTCATTCATATTCAAGAGCTTTATGTGGTAGTGCTCAAAGTGGATTTCGATTTGACACAGTGGGGACTTCACTATACACTGTACATGTCTGTGGGAGCTTTTGTAGCTGCCTATCTTGTGGGGTGGTGGCCAAATTCAAAACCAGGCAGAGCATTGGGGTAGTTCAAAGAGCTCTGTTATATGTGGTGGTAGTTTCCACTAAAGTTTCAACCATGTGTATATATGACCAAACAAGCAGATCTCTTTCTGTGGTTTTTTGGTGCCTGTGCTATACAATTGTTACTGTAGTGCCTTAGGGAATTATGTTACCACAAGATGCCCCACAATTGCTCGTTACGTCAACTTTACACTGTCGTGATAGGCACATGGTATGCAACATGGTTTAAAAAAATGTGTTTACCATTGTTTGATTAGATTCCACAGCCAGGGGCACATTCCTATATTATCATTTAGTATGGAATGAAAATCTCATGTCATACATGTATATACAGTGCAAATGACCATGTGCATACAAGTCACTGCTCTATCTGTGCTAAATGTAGGTTGTGGAATTGGACAGTAAGTGCACACCGCTTCACCTGATGCCATTCAGATACTCTCAAGACCAATTTGCCGTCGTGTGCACTGCTTTCGACGTACACTTTGCCGAGATATCCACCGACCATAGCATCAAACTCCACCCACTGATAGTAGGTTCGGAGAGGCCTGGAGTCCTGGTTGAGAGCAATCGACAACTCTTCTCAGTCTCGTACCTCGGTCAAAACGCGTATGAGAAATACAGCTACCACTCTGCCACGCCCGAGATACTGTCTCTTCCCAGTAACGTTCTCTGTCTGGAGGGCTATAGTGCCACTTACCCTCTCCACGGCCAGGAGATGTTTCTACTGCAGTGCGTGACGGACGACGGACCGACGCTGTACATAGTCCCTCTCGATCAGGACGAGATGGCACGTGCGGTACCATCACAAGGGCGCCCCTATTCATCTCTAGATGGGACGTACATTTCTATGGTGAACGGGAGTCGTGTCGTGTCATTTCCTGCAGCCAACCAGAGCGTACTGTCGAGTACCGAGACGTTTACTAGTCGAGTTAAAAAGTTTGAGTTTCTGAACTCTCGCGTTGCTATTGTTCTCACTCAAGGTGGTGGGCATTACGTAATGTACCTCAGTCATGGCGTCTCGGAGATAACACAGCTCCCCGGTGGGGTACCTGTCAAATGGGTGTGGATTGACCCGCACAACTACTATCTCTACGTGACTGATCAAAACGAACTTTTTCTCTTCAACGATACGTTGAAAGACCCGGAAGATATGCCTAAAAGTGTTGTCAGTCGCCCTGAACTGTTGCTGTTTGCTAGGAAATACGTACCTGGCCCGGGGCCGACATCTACAAACAATTCCGGTTTGAGTGACAAGGACCCTTCAGGACCAAACTCACTTCCAGCCATTTTGGGTGGTGTGTTTGGTGGAACAATTCTGACAGCTGTAGCTGCAGTAGCAGTGCTCATGCTTCTGGTGTACATGAAGAAACTTCCCTGTAGCAGACACACTTATTCACCAGTAGAAGAAACCAACCCTCAGGGCACTGCTATGACCACCTTGAAGCCCACTGTGGAAGAGGGTAGCAAGGGAAAGGGTGGTGATCAGTACGAAATATCATTTTCACAGCCTGCGGACGAGCCGCACGCTGCTGAGAACTGGAGCGATTCAGCCGGAAATGTTGCCACTGCCACTCATGATCCTCAAGAACCCCAGAAGAAGAAGGGTGAGGTAACAGAGCGCGATATTGCCAATTTCTTGTCAGTTACACAAGCGGAGCAAGTCACGTGTCCACCAGGAGTCCCAAACGTCAGTGTAGAAGCTGGTACCACAGCACCATCAACTGGCAAAGCTAAACCCCCGTCAGCTGGCCAATCTTCCATTACAGCAGTTAAATCTCCATCTGCTATAGCAGCTGTCTCGCCGCTCACCGCAGGACACGGACCAGACGATTTGTATGCTTTTCGAGAGAACCCATCGTGCACTCGTAACACCAGCACTGCAGTGTCTGCATTTGTTCCTGGAGAAGAGGAAACTGCTTTTCTCCATGCAGATAGCCTTGCAAACTGAGAGACCACAATCAAGTTTTGTACATGGAAACATCTTTTTTTATACATGTGTGAATTTTTATCGGTTAGTTCAAAGTTCAAAGTTCATGTTTGAATGGGCCCGCCCGGGCATGACATGTATACAGACAAGTTAAAAAACATGTAGGAAGCATAACACATGACTGAAGAAGGTGGGGTCCATGGTAGTCAAAGAGTCAAGTAGAGTGCACCAGGAGTTGTCTCTCTAACTCTGATTCACACACATCCAAATTTATACCATGGTTAGCAAGACGGTTCATGGCGACAATTACGAGAAACAAACCACTAGTGGGAGGGATATAAGGACCCCTTTTGACAGAAGATATGGATCTTCAACCGACTGCCGACTTGTATCGTCCGTTCGTGCGCACGCGCGCGTTGAGCTCTGTTGATGATGCGCATGCGTTTAGTGAAAGGGGAAAACCAGGGGAATTTCCCGTATATACAAGGTCCAGTCTTGTAGAGGAACACACTGCGCCGCAGCCACTCACGCCTTCTGGATGTTTTCCAGTTCGAAATTAGTTGCGTTCCTTTGCTACTCCTGTTTCCCGTCCTTGAACAGCCTTGAAGGCGATGTTACATATACAGCTGTGTGTGTGTTGGCGTTGGCCCCGAGTGGGCGGCCGTGTGTTTGGGTGTATTGGCTTTTTAGCGAACATCAAACGTCACTTACACGATTACTTGGCCATACAACGTACGACTCCCGTTCTTTATATTACTTGTAGGAAAGTTGCTACTATTCAGAGTGTTTGCTGGACAGCTAATAACAGGGGTCTACCCTCTCCCACCAAGTGAACCCAGAGAGTTTACACAGTCGCTGGCTGGTCCTCTGGCTGGGGTGTCACTGAGATGTGGTTCCTGTCCACATGATGCCGTCACCAGACTCTCCTTCCAGACTGAATCACTCAGAACTCTTGTCATTCTCTCTGACAGGGTTCTGTCAGTTGTCACTATCAATGAGAGCGTCACACCAGAAGTGGTTCAGGTATGCAATTATGATGTATTACCATAGTGCCACTTGCGTACTTGTCTGAAATTCTCCTAATACTGCCCTTCATCAGTGTAAAGCCTTGCAATACATAAATGGCAGCATTGTTTAAATCCAGACACGAAAACTGGCTGGTGCTGGAAAATCCAACTGAATGCAGTAGTTTGCAGAGAGTTGGTGGCATGTGATTATCGAAGTTCTGCCTTTCATGACTAATTGCCATTCTTTTGCATAGCCCACCCAACTGCTTGCATTGGGGTATTTCCTGCTATATAGTGCTGTTGTTGTAGCCTCATCTTTTATGCATAGCAGGTATGTGTGACTTACCCCAAGGCATAGTCTGTCCACATTTCTGTAGGGAAAACTTTGACAGCAAAAGCTCTGTTTCAGTAGCAAACACAATTTTGACTGTAGATAACTTTCACAGATTGCTGGTCCCTGGACAGCTACTAAACCCCACACATAAGTTTAGTGCTATACATTATCAGTACACTTGTGCACATGTGACTTCATGCTTAGTTTTCAACACAACCCCAGGTCGTCTCGCTGGATGAACAGTGCACTCCGCAAACTCTTGTGGCATTTGCTGATTCAAAGCAGTTTGCCGTCATCTGTGCTAGGCTTTCCTTGCAATTTGGGTCAGTTGATGGTACCAGGGGTCGCGTGAAACTACAAGCACTTGAAACATACCCCAACCCAATCCCAGAGAGCAGTAAATCCGTTTTTATTACGACTGGTGTAGAGATAAAAATTGTGACAATCGGGGGAAATTTTGTGGAAGTTTACACCGTCAACGATGGATCGCCAGTGACTGATGAACTACCGCGGAATGTAAACTGCCTGAATACCAGCGAACCTATCCTAACTCCTCTGCATACCGAACCAGCCGTACTGTTGCAGTGCAACACTACTAATGGAATGGTCGTCTATGTCATACCGATTCCAATAGTACGAGGGGCAGACGCGAGAGGTTTCCCAGCTGATGGCCTGGTACTGTCTTCGCAAGATGGGACTTACGTGATAGTGGTCAAAGGCCCAGTGTTGACCAGTCAAGAAAATGGGGCTCCGGGGAAGCAAGTTGTACTTCGGAGTCAGATTACAGCTGTGGATAACTTGGACAGTGATAATGTACGTGTCTTGACAAAGGAAAAGAGGCACATTGTAATAAATCTCGAAAGTTGCTCACAACGGGTAATGCCAGGTGGTCATCCTGTGCTATCAGAGTGGGTCGGCACTTCAAACGACTACATTTACTCACAGAAGACGACATACTGTAGTTGTCAATGATACATCTATCGAACCAGAGTATGGACCGAAGGGGGGTTGCCAAATAAACAAACAAATGATGCTGTTTGTCGAACAAGCTACAACACAGACACCCATTCCTACTTCGACTCCAGACCCACATCCACCCTCTCCGCCAAAGTATGGGACGAACGTTGATGCAATAGGTTGGAGTTGTGGCGGCATAATTGTAGTAGGGCTAATAGCTTCTACTTTAATTGCGATAACTGTTGTGCTTATGCGAAAAAGAAATAATCGGGCACCATTCCAAAGATTGTTTTGCACACAAAGCGATGACAGCCGTGCTGAGATTCACCTAGAATCCAGTCAAAACATGATAGAGTTGCCTGAAATAAGGAGGCCAGAAGACCGTGACAGTACCCCGAGTCCCGACCCAGCCATATCTACTGTAAGCCCACCAGTGCATGTGACTCCAGACAATCTTGACTCCGACAATGGACCCCACCACAATAGCACCGCAGTCTTCCCGACCACCCACGTCTCCAACAGTGAGACACACACAACCTTTCCGGAACATCTCAGCTCTGGCAGTGAAATGAGTGAGCTCCCGTCCGTCCACTCTCCCCCACAACAGGCCAGCGAGGGACACAATCAACAACACACCACCAACACCACTGGAGCAGTCTTGGTATCAAATACTGACAACACCAGTGTTGACACTTCTGTCTTCACATACCCTTATCCGGAAGAAAATCAATTATTACAGACAAAATTTGTATCATGAAAAGGCAACCACTGTTGTTGTTATGTTTCTCTGAATTCAGCTTGTACCATAGATATTTTTCTCATCCTTTGATACTATAGAAACAATACACAAGACAAGAGAATTGTTACACTGTGTTTTATGTCACTTTATAATAATATGGTAAATTTGGTAAACATGCGTGCATGCATACATAATAGCTGAACCGTGTGTTAGAGATCATCTATCTCTAAGTCCCCTGAAGCAGAAGGGATGTGTCTGCCTCTGAGGTGCCATAATTCTCCTGTTCTCCAGGTCGAGTAATGTCTGCAGTCGAAACCACATCATCACCCTCTGAAGTGGTAGCAGACTCTGGTGCTGGCTCCATTTCATATGCCTTGTGGTCAGTGCTAACAATCTCCAGCTCTGTGGCTCTTGATCTGCTGTCATTACCATCTTGGGATTTCTTTGCCTTTTTTCTAGCAGTTTTAAGTTTTTGTCCATATTCTTTGGCTATGATATAGAGCAGTCTTCCACAGCAACAGGTCCACCAGCAACAACATAAACCTAAGAAGAGTATCATGAACAGGATTCCACCAAATAGTCCGTGATAGAGGATAAATTTCCCAACATCAGTTCCATCGTGTTTTGGTGTGTCTGGCAAAGGGTTATCTGAACTAACGGAGGCTTCTGTTGGACTTGATCCCTAAAAAAATAATACTATCTCTATCGGCCTGTTCATAGCATTTTCTAGTTCATACTGGGGATGGGTGGATGTTTCATTGATTACATATAGTGTTCCGTCTTCCGTGAAATATATGTAGTGGTTGGAAGAGTCAACCCACTCTGACAGAGTGGGAGTACCTCCTGGCATGTATCGAGGCTCAGCCAAAGTGTTCTTGAGATTCATCACAACATGTTCTCCATTCTCAGTCAACAGACGGACGTTCTCATTGCCCAAGTTTGCTACACTTTCAATCTCACTCGGGAGCCTCTTATGTGACACTGGAACGCGAGTGTCAGCACTGGAATAAACAGTGAGCTCTGTTCCGTCCACCACAAGGATGTACGTCCCATCCAGTGAAGAGTGTGCGACACCATCTACCAAGATAGTCTGTGCAGTTTTATCAGGTGACACAGGGACAGGTACCACGTACAAGGTTGGCCCACCCTCACTCATACAGTGCATCAAGAATGCTTCTCTGGTGATTAGAGGAGACAGTGTGGGCTGATTTGTGCAGTTTATGTTGTAAGGCAGTTGAAACGGTTGAGGTGTAAGTTGATTGTCTCTATAGAGCTGGAGCATGTTGTCACCAATGTATGTAACTATTCCCAGTAGTGCTTGACCTTTGGTGATAAATACTACTTCCATTTCATTGTCCGCTGCAACTAATAGTCCATTCAGTGGTACTTGAAGGTTGCTAGTGTTTATTGATGCAACTTGGAGCGCATTTCTGGCACAGATAACTGCAAAGGTTGTCCGTGAGCCTTCTATTGCCACTAGATTATGTGGAGTGCACTCCTCATCTAGTGCTATCACCTGCACAGTCAGGGATAATTTCATGTTTTGTAATCCTCTATAAAAAGGACCCACCTGAGACGTCCAAGGACTCCCCTCCTGGCAGCACAAAACTCTACACACCTTGCTATCTCTGCAATGATGTGGTTCGAGAAGGTTCGACATGCGCTTGAACCCCACCCCCCCCCTGCTATGCTAACTAGTATATACATTGGTTGTTGCTAAGTCATTTTTTTGCTGAGTCATTTTTTGCTGAGTCATATTTTGGTTTTTGCTGAGTCATTTGATGCTTGGTTGTTTGAGTCATTTTTCTGCACAAGTGGTGCAGGGTGGTTGTGCAAATGGTTTGTTCTTCTTTACCTATATTTATTGGTTTATATCTACACGTTGCCTTATCTAGACAGACAACGAAATACGAAGAAGGTTCCCTGGTCGTGCACTTACAGCCACAACCAGGGAAGTCTATATCAGACAAATTAAAAAAGGTATGTTGTTTGATTGTTTAATCTCCAAATTGACAATTTTATTTTAACATTAGAAAAGAAATATAAAGAAATAAGTAAGTTGAATTATATTGAGTTGATATATAAATATGTGGTGTGTTTATTTTTTTGCAGATAAAGCATTAACCCTTTTCTTTTTTCTTCTTGTTCCTCTGTTATATTTAGAATTAAAGTTAATAGACATTATAAAAATCCTCAGGTCATAATAATAATATAACCTTCTCTATCCACATCGTTAACGTGAGTTCGGGGTAGTTCGACTGTACCGAACCTTCTCTATCTACATCGTTACAGGGGAAACAAGGTGTGCAGGGTGCTTATGCACTTGTTCGGGGTGGTTCAAACCTCGTCGAACCTTCCCGAACCACATCATTCCAGAGATAGCAAAGTGTGTAGAGTTTTTGTCACATGAGTTCGGGGTGGTTCGCCTATTGGCCTATTGGGAAGCCGAGCGGGCGGAGTCGATTGAGCCGCTTTTTCCCGCGCCACTTTAGTAACTACTTAGAGCTCTGCTGTAACTGATAACAGCACAGTTATGTCTCTCCTGTAACTGGTTCGGGGTGGTTCCGACTCAATAAACCACTGTGATGCATGGGGAAGGTATATACCCTAAACACCTCGTTCCCAGAGAGAGAGAGAGAGAGAGAGAGAGAGAGAGATAGAGGGAGAGAGAGAGAGAAGAGGAGTAACATGTTACTGCACTGCCATAACTAGTTAGGGCTCTGCTGTAACTGAGTTCGGGTTTGTTCAAGCGCTTCATAGTAATAAACAGAAATAGAATGTGATGAGTGAGTGTGTTCAGCCGAGTCGTTTTCTTTTCACCTCCTAAAAAGGCAAAAAAGTAGTGCATCCATGTTACGGTCCATGTTACTTTGTTCTTTTCACTTGCTGTAATTTGAGCTGTTCCGCCATCTCCTCCAACGTCTTCTTCATCTTCGCCATCTCCTCCAACGTCTTCTTCATCTTCGCCATCTCCTCCAACGTCTTCTTCATCTTCTTGAGCTCCTCATCCTTCGCCTCTAGCGCCTCATCCTTCGCCTCTAGCTCCTCATCCATCTTCTTGAGCTCCTCATCCTTCGCCTCTAGCTCCTCATCCATCTTCTTGAGCTCCTCATCCTTCGCCTCTATATCAGCCTGAAAAAGGTGTACAGAGATATTAGACACAAATACAGTTCATACTTTTTACCTTCAAGACTTCAATTGTCGGTTCTGGCTCCATAATTCGACGGTATGTTTTCTTTGGGTGGAAGGGAATTTTGTATTTCTCTGGGTCCAAGGATTGAAATTCCGACCAAATATTAGAAATATAAAAAGAAATATAAGGAAAAAAATTTCCAATCCAGCAACTTAACACCTAAGCTGAACGGATTAAACAATCGCACACTGGAGGTCACAACAGCTTCAATACCACATATCTCGTCTTTAGAGAAAGGGAAAAAAATAAATTTAACTTCATCCTCGCAGAATAGAATCGCCAATGGGGGGAAATGGTAATTATCTAGGGTAGTAATACAAAATGAATCCATTATTTGCATTTAAAACAAATGACTGACCATTGTCGGAATGTTGGTTAGAATTTTTTCGAGCAATGTAGTACCCTATTGTCTGGCACACAGCATCGTCATTAAAACTGGCCTTCCTTTTCACTTCAACAAGTGCACACACTGAAGGGTCTGTACCTGTATGTACTGAATAGAATGTAATAATGTTGCGTGAAAGCTGCTTTTGCTGATTGGGGGTGTCAATGTTGGTGGAAACGGTGGCGGCAGAGTTGGCAGAGTTGGCAGTGAGAGTGTCGCTACCTCTCATCGATGCCTCAGCTACTACTATAGTACCCGATGCTCTTGCAATTCCTTTTACGATTGGGTCAATCGTGGAGAGCCGAATATTAGCCTCACTTTGAGCTATACCTATAGCTGATGAGGGTGGTATATATATATATTATATACTAGTTTTAAAACCTAACCTTGTGGTACACCGGCCAACTTTCTAGTTTCCATAACATCCAAAGATATTCGAAGCAATTCTGTATCAATATGATATTTTTGTGAAGGAATTGGAGAACATCTTTCAAAACTTTCGAGAAGATTGCTGACAAGAAGGCGAGGTGTGTTCATAGCCTCAAAATGTTTTTCCATCCTTAAATCTGTTGCCCTTAACGACGTTCTTCTGTTCAAATGTCTGGTCCAGTCATCTGTCGGAATAAAAATCCGACTGCTTTTTAAATCCAAGAAGTCGAATTGATTTTCTACCAGCCCCCGCCGATATTCTACATCGGTTGTCTCAGGGGAGGTGGACATTCCTACCACAGCTGAATTAACAAGTAGAACATCAATATAATTATGAAGCTCATGACCATGCTACCCCTCCCACAAATTAGTCACATGGAGGAGAGAGAACCATGTGCAGTGTGCATTAATTAGCAATGTTCTCTCAGCTGTGAAATGTTCTGGACTGTTAGACTAGTTGGCAATCAGTGCAAGACTGCAGAACAGTAACTAACTAGCTCATTGTTCTGTCTGTCAACTAATACATGTCAGTGCTTGCCTGTGCTCTCAGCACAATCTACACCAGTCATCAGTCATTGTTCTGTCTGTGTCAGTGCTTGCCTGTGCTCTCAGCCACACCTGGCACAATCTACACCAGTCATCAGTCATTGTTCTGTCTGTCAACTAAAAAATGTCAGTGCTTGCCTGTGCTCTCAGCCACACCTGGCACAATCTACACCAGTCATCAGTCATTGTTCTGTCTGTCAACTAATACATGTCAGTGCTTGCCTGTGCTCTAGCCACACCTGGCACAATCTACACCAGTCATCAGTCATTGTTCTGTCTGTCAACTAATACATGTCAGTGCTTGCCTGTGCTCTAGCCACACCTGGCACAATCTACACCTTGTAGTGAACACACACACACACAGCTGGAGGGTATACACCAGAAACAAGGAGAGAGGGAGAGAGAGAGATAAAGAGAGAGAGAGGAAGAGAGGGCGAGAGAATGAGAAAGAGAGAGAGAGAGAGAACTCACTTCACGCTTCAAATGACAACACTTCAAAACGTGACTGGCGAATGTAGAGAAAAGGGATGAGTCTGATCCTGAGCTGTAAATTATTAGAGAGAGAGAGAGATAGAGAGGGAAGGAAGAGAGGGCGAGAGAAAGAGAAAGAGAGAGAGAGTTTCACGCTTCAAATGACAACACTTCAAAACGTGACTGGCGAATGGAGAGAAAAGGGGACTACAGGATATGAGTCTGATCCTGAGCTGTAAATTATCAGAGAGAGAGAGAGAGAGAGAGAGACGTTTTAAAGGCAACACTTCAGATTCTCACCTCACAGGCTAAGAGAGAGAGAGGGAGGGAGCACTCACCTCTGTTCCAAAATGACACCAATTCAGCGGGCATTTCATCCTGCTACTGAGAATCATCAATGTGTGCTTGTAACTTTCATCCTGCTACTGCTCATTATGCTACTGAGCATCATCAATGTGTGCTTGTAAATCAGCTAGTCGTCGGAAGGGGGGTGGTGTGGTGGTATGAATGAGCAGTAGAATGGCAGTAGAATGGCAGTAGAATGGCAGTAGAATGGCAGTAGAATGGCAGTAGAATGAGCAGAAGAATGAGGAGTAGAATGGCAGTAGAATGGCAGTAGAAGGAGCAGTAGAATGGCAGTAGAATGAGCAGTAGAATGAGCAGTAGAATGGCAGTAGAATGAGCAGTAGAATGAGCAGAAGGGCCGTAGACTGAGCAGTAGAACGGTACGGAAGCCCAGGAGGGCCATTCTATACTTCCGTTCTACGCGAACTTCCATCCTTCCATCGTTCCATCATTCTATACTTCCGTTCTACGCAAACTTCCATCCATCCTTCTATCCTCCAGGAAGTGTCTGTGGTGGCTCCCATGGCGGATCTGGGCCACCAAGAAGTTTCTTGACCAGTGGCGTATGCCACTACTATTGGGAGTTTTGATTGTTTTGTTAGTGCAATGTCCCAAACAGCAAAGTGTTCTTTTGAACTACAATTTTCAATGCTAAAATCTACTTTGGTAATTCTCAAACTCAGTAAACAAATAGATCATTAATGGTATATTAGCACTTCATGCTTACATTTGCATGTGTCGGATAGATCACGGAGGGAGAAAGTATTAGAGAATTTTACAATTTGCATCTAAATAGCTATATACCGTGGCCAGTTTTCTCCTTCACATACACTGTACCATTATACATACCTCAGTGATTTCAGTAGACGTCTGGTCTATACTGACCATGGTCAACGTGTGATCAGCAAGTACGACAACTGCTCTGCGTGATTCTGCCTGGAAGGGCAGTGCTGTGACAGACCCAGGGGGACAGGACCCACACAGCGCAGCCAGAGAGCCTCGTACTGGCCGTGGCCATTGTGACTCGGTCACTGCCTCGGTTGGTGAGATGTGGTAGTTTTTGGTTATCAGTTGCTTGCCAGAGGCACTCAATAAACGAATGGAACCTGCATGGACATAACAGTCAATGTGGCTAGCTAACAAAGAATGGGTCATGCACTCTCTACGATGCTCTAGTGTAGCTACCCACAGTGGGTGGCATTGTACCAGGCTATATTTGATATCTACCCACACATGTTTATAGCTACAGCTTGCTCTAACCTTGCTTTGCTCCTGTAGCTCGGTAATGATTGTGATCATGCATTATACACAGGTCGTGTTGTATATAGCCGAGCTCAATATAGCCACAGTACAAGGCTACCTGATACCCATGTGTGGTTTAGCTACAGCTCCTCTACTGAAGTATTGCTAACCTTCCAAACCATAGCCAGGGAAAGCACTGGCTAGAAAGAGCAGTGATAACAGTAGAAGATGAAGACAGCTTATCATGGACTTATTTCCCCTCTCTTACAAAAGAAGAATGGTCTCTCACAGTTGGGAGAAGTGAGCTTCTTATAATACGGCCCAGCAACATAAATGATACAGTGCAGTGATATACCTAGCTAATGCACAAAGGAAGCAATGTGTCTAGGTTCCTGTAGGGTATTACCCAGTGCTACTATTTTTGTATCTGGGTGGGTATAGCTTCTGTAAGATAGTTGTATATATACTTTCACAGAGGTTGACACATCCTGCTTCTTGCAAGTTAGTATAGCTTCTCAGGAAGTAGACACATCCTGTTTACGCAGGTCAGCAACACTGTATAAATCTGTGAAGCTAAATGGGTATATAAACCCTTTCTCGGTACTCATGAAGTATTAGACCTAGTGCTGGAATAAGTATATGAGAAATCACTATTTCACACTGCGTTTGCTGTCCTGTCTGATCTTACTGGATCTTCCATGGAGAACCTTGGGTTTGGAAGGTTAGCTAAGTAATGAATAATGCACTCACTCTACGCACGCACATGACTCCATACTTGCAACAGTGACATTCAGTGCTATGTATGTTGATGTTTATAAGTTGTTCATTACACATAATATGCAGGCATGGCTAACTGTCTTCAATGATTGTCACTCTTTTGTGCCTCAGGAAAACTACAGCTATTAAAAGTCTCCGATGGACATTTTATAACTAAGAGCTACTTTATTCTGGAAAATGGCAAAAGCAGTATATCAAGGCAGTCGCTGGCTGGTCCTCTGGCTGGGTTCTCATTGAGATGTGGTTCCTGTCCACCTGATGCCGTCACCAGACTCTCCTTTCAGACTGAGTCACTCAGAACTCTTGTCTTTCTCGCTGACAGGGTTCTCTCAGTTGTTCGAATAGACTTTGAACCAACAGGAGTGACTCAGGTATGATGGCTGTATAATAAGGCACTGGGACCGTGTACGCGAGCATGTGCGTAACTAACACAGACTCTGTTAAAAGACATAATAATACTAGTACACGTTGTTTGCTACAGTTCCGTTTATAAGAAGGAAAGTGTTGTGCTGCAAGCAAGTTGCAATAAGTATACTCCTGTTGCCTCCATACAGCATGTGTCATGCAATGTATAGAACATTTAACCTAGCTTCTAATGTAGGTATGCAATGTGCACTTCAATTCTATATTATACACATGAATAATTTTGTGATCCAAGTCCAAGTTGCACATGTGATTTTACTTTTCCATTATTATGCCTGCAGGTGTTAGCATTAGATAAGAATGCACCCCACGCAATCTTCTGCCAATTGGCTCATCAACCACCTTTGCAGTTGTCTGTGACAGACACTCCTTACAAATTGCATCAGTCAATATTAGCAACCATGAGTTAATGTTGCAAGGACTATTTCGGTATGATTTAGCCAGCAAGTACAACGAACACAGTTTTTAGTACAAGAACCGATTCTCTGTTGCGAATTGTTACGCACATTGGTGAGAACATGGTCAAGCTATAATTATGCTGTCAGCGAGCTCATGCCTCAAGTTCTGCAACTACCTTTTAACATTGACTGTACAAGTCAGCCCACACTCTATCCTCTCAATATCAGAGAAGCATTCTTGATGCACTGTATGAGTGAGAGTGGGCCAACCTTGTACGTGGTACCTGTCCCTGTGTCACCTGATAAAACTGCACAGACTATCTTGGTAGATGGTGTCCCACACTCTTCACTGGATGGGACGTACATCCTTGTGGTGGACGGAACAGAACTCACTGTTTTTTCCAGTGCTGACACTCGCGTTCCAGTGTCACAAAAAAGGTTCCCGAGTCAGATCAAAAGTGTAGCAAACTTGGATAATGAGAAAGTCCGTCTGTTGACTGAGAATGGAGAACATGTTGTGATGAATCTCAAGAACACTTTGGCTGAGCCTCGATACATGCCAGGAGGTACTCCCATTCTGTCAGAGTGGGTTGACTCTTCCAACCACTACATCTATCTCACGGAAGACGGAACACTGTATGTAATCAATGAGACGTCCACACATCCACTGTATGAACTGGAAGTTGTCGGTAACTGGTCTCTAATTTTATTCACGGAAGGGACGAAACCAACAAAACAACCAGAACATCTATCTATTTTTAATTTGACAATGATGGTTATATACGTTGGATTGATAACAGTGGTCATCATAACAATTGTAAAGTTGAAGTGTAAAAAATTACAAGCCAAGAGAAAAAGGAAGGCCCCAGCTCAACAAGGCAGCCAGCAACCAGTTGAACAAGCCGACCAGCAGCCATCACAGCAAGAACCAGACAGAAACAAGGTTTCTACTAACATTGAGAAACAACCATCACTAGCTTCAGAAGATGCAACCCATACTTTCCTGGAGACCTTGGCAAAACCCACACCTCCAGAGCAGTCATTGGCCAAGAAGGGAATTATGGTGAACCTTGAAAACAACAACGAACAGAATCGACCTGAAGTACCTCTCACAGAAGCTGA